TGGATAATTATACTGACTTTGATGACTAACAATTGTATTTCTTATTATATGTTTATACTTCAAATACAGATTTAAAAAACTTAGTAGTCATATATAGTTACACTGTGATATGAGTTAGAGTATACTATGATATAAATATTTTTAAATTATATCATAAAATTTAGCAGATTATTAATCAGTAACCAAGAACCTCTCCAATTAAACCACTACAACCACCACAGCAAAACAATTGCTAATCCAGAAAACAGGAAATAAGGGAGATGGAAGATGTGTATAAACATTTGGGAGATACAAAATTTATCCCATGAGTGTTGTAAAGAGCTCATAGTTTAAGAATGCCAAAGCCCAAGTGTGTTATGAGGGCCTTTCCTCAAAAGTGTCATTAACTGCATATCCCACAGATACTTATTACGTATTCTATTTATATCAAAGTATAAAATGTAGTTGAAAATATACAGATTCAATATTTAAGGGTGATAATAAAACACAGTTACTCTGGCCTAGCAAAAATTGTTATTTTTAAACTTCAATTTTTAGTCCCTCTATAAAATATTATTACGGGATTAAGTGAAAATGGTATTCAGTCTTTATACTTGAATCTCTTGTGATTAAGTGTCTTTGGGACTCAAACAAGCACATACTCAGGGATGGAACTTTAACATTGGGACTTTAGAGGCTTTTGCACAAAAATAACCCCCAATTGATGAAATCACAGCACAGTCCTATTCTCCAACTAACAATGAAGATGCCAAAAAAAAAAAAGCAACTTTTAGAAATTACCTTGGAAAGTTGGAAGTAATGTAGTCAATATTTACTTTGGATATTAATCAGCATGCGTTGACAGGCCCCTACAAACTTAATTTTTAAAAGTCTAATACCCATCAATAAGTGGTAAACAAAAGATAATTCAAAATGTTAATTATTTGAATTAAAGCAAGAGATACTTTGATCAAAGTGCAACAGGAGTAATCATTCATAAAGTTAATGAAAAATACAATGTAAATTACTTTTAGGAAATATCATTTTATAATGCTACATTTAACTTCAAGTTATCTTTGTTTAAACTAAATAGTGGGGCGCCTGGGTGGCTTAGTCGGTTAAGCGTCCGACTTTCGCTTAGGTCATGATCTCGCGGTTCGTGGGTTCAAGCCCCGCGTCGGGCTCTGTGCTGACTGCCAGCTCAGAGCCTGGACCCTGTTTCAGCCTGTGGCTCCCTCTCTCTCTGACCCTCCCCTGCTCACGCTGTCTCTCTCTCTCTCTCTCTCTCTCCTGGAAATAAATAAAACATTAAAAAAAAAAATAAACTAAATAGTAACTTGATTGACTGAACATTTTGTAACACAAAAATCAGCTACAATTATCCAGGGGATAATGTACTTAAGTACATAAAATAGCATTAGTAAGCAAATTATTATATGATATCCAAGATCTCATGGGTATTTAATTCCCACATTTTAAGATAAATATCATCAATTTACTTAAAATTAAGATAAGAAAATTTGGAATGACTAGCCAATGTTAGGACGATTAATATTTTCATACTAATTATTGATTCTAATTTTGTTAAATAAATTTATTAGAAAAATACAATAAGTATGTTTGTATCTAGCACATCTGCTATGTCAGGAGACATCCACATATATTCTCTTACAAAAAACAGAACCAAAATTATCTCTAAAAATGGAGTAATTGCAAAATCTCTCAATGATAATTATAACCTTATATAAAGCAGATTTAAATAAATTTTCATGTACCATGAAGCTGCTAAAGATTTACTAGAATAAGAAACCTGGACTTAATAGGACTATAATTTCATTTTGTTAACACTTTCTTCACCATGTAATAAACACCTATTTATGATTTATTCCCCATTCTAAGCAAATTAATACTGATATATTCATTATTGACATTTTAACATATTGTTTACTAATTTTGGTAAAACGTTTTGGTACACAAGAAAATAGTTGTCTGAAAATCAAAATTTTGGGGCACCTGGGTAGCTCAGTCAATTGAGCATCAGACTCTTGATTTTGGCTCAGGTCATGATCTCACAGTTCATGGGACTGAGCCCCGTATCCAGTTCTGTACTGGCAGATTCTGATTGAGCTTGGGATTCTCTCTCTCTGTCCCTCCCTCATGCATGCATGCATGTATATATATTTTCTCTCTCTCAAAATAAATAACCATTTAAAAAAATGAAAATCAAAGTTTTGTAAAAAAAAAAAAAAATGGTATGCAAAAGCACATCTTAGATGATGCCAATTATGGACTCTGCTATCTTAAAGAAGAGCAGTGTTATTAACTGAAAATTGATTATTTTGTATATGTCCACTTGAGGATAATATATTCAAAGTGTAAACTAATTGTTTTCAAGCATTAATACTGAATGTCAGCCTAAATTACCAACTTTACTGCAACAGGAATGGACATTAACATCAGTAATTACTTGGATTAATATTACTTTTATGATATAAAACAAAATATTTCAATTCATTGCCATGAAGTCTAAACCTACAATATTCTTTTAGCCTTAGGGACACAAAACTGTTGTGCCAAATTGCTATAATCTGTTTCTAGAAGTTCAGTCCTCAGCTCTATACTGGCTCTTTAGAAGCAATGGTCTGAAGGACAGCTGTTCTGTTTCCACCTAAGTAGAAGCTACTCATATACTTTGGTGAAGAAAACATAGAAAGCCAGAGGTGGAAAGGTTCATGAAACACGCGGAACATCATATTCACATAGCCATGGCATCCTACCTGGGGAATGGTGAGGACAGATAATGATAACAGAAGTACTGCCAACATATACTGAATGCTTACTACACACTGAGCACTATGATTTCTGTATATTATAATTTAATTCTCATAGACATCCGATGAAGGAGGTACCATAATTTTCACTATCCATTTCACAAATGAAGATACCAACGATCAAAATGATTAAACAAATCTATTTCGTTTCAAAGTCTGTCTTCTAACTGCTATTTCATACTATACTCATATTTTTCTTTGGCCTCAAAGATTCTAATAGTCATCAACAGGAAATATACAGATGAGAAGTACAACAGAAAGCAGCATAAAGACAAAGGATAATTCAGCCACATGTGCCCCACAAATACAAGTAATACAATCAAATTTAGTAAATGAAGTGAGTAAATAAACTCCTTGCGCTATAAAATGCAATAGAGATTAAGAGAATGAGTGACTTCTTCAAAGATTAAAAAATATGTATATTTTTGGTTAATGCAGATAAGATTCTGTACTAAAATAATGGGATAAATGAGTCAGCTACGATTATTGCTGAAAAATAAAGCTGAAAGGACTAAGAATGATTATGTCATGGATCAGGGAATTTTATTGGGAAGGTGCTGGTCGGATGTCAAAGAAGCTCTATGAATCATTATGATGAAGAGAAAGCTGATAGAAACTAATGTCTGAAAAGGAAACTGGAGCAATGGTTTATAAATCCTCACACCCAAGCCCATGCCACCTACCACTGCAATGTAAAGCCCCAGCTCAAGCAAAGAGGTAACAAACAATAAAGCATTTCAAAGAAATGAGAAGTATGCCGAACATTAATTCCTTTCCCCAATATTTAAGGCCAATATCTAGACTTTAGTAAACAATTTTTAAGGGTGTAAAATAGGCTTTGGTATCTGAATAAACCACTTCTTTCAGTGCACAATGGAGAGGAATATAGAATTTAAATCCTGACCTTGACATCAGCTATTTTAAAATAAAGTTTTAGGTCTATAATCACAGGCACATTAGCCAGACTTTTAAGTATAAATGATGACTCATTAGTAACTTACAGTACTGCCCAACGCTCATGTTACCCACAACTTTCTCATTTCCGATGGGAATGATGGAGCTGCTCACAATGTTGAAGTCAAGTTTCAGTCACAGAAATGAAAACAAGCATCATTAAAACAGAAAAGCAGACATCTATAACCACACTTCAGGATCTCTAGAGATGATAGATAGTGGAGTTATTATCAGTGAAAGACTGTGTGTAACATGAGAACATAAAGAAAACTTTCATTGGTATTCCTTTGGGCTAAATAAACAGCCTCTGCTCTGGTCTTAAACCTTTGACTTGTTTGGAATTCTTGTAATTCAAATAAAGAATTCATATTTACTGAGCATCTACTATGTACATCTTAATAATATCTTCTCAATTTTCCATGTTCTACCTGATTGAGAGATGGGAATTGCAGAAAATATCTACCAAGAAACTATCCAGCATTAGATATGTTTTATTGTTTCAATGTCTGTAGCACTACACAATGAATTTGTATTTACTAAAACTGCAATCTTTCTAATTTTCCTACTCATCCTATTAAGCCACTAAAGAAACACACATACAAACATCACACACGTATCTGAGGAGTGTGTGGCTCCCCATTCTTCTACTACAGCATGTTACAAAAGTTACGTGGCTGAAGGTGATTACCATTTTGTGTTTGCTATGAGGAACATTCAGCTCACTTTTAGAAATGCAATCCCAATAAAATGGAAAGCACATGGATGTACTAAAGTATTGGCTGGGTACGGGGCTGGCTTCATGTGTGTATGACCTGTGTGACCCTGCACTTCTTAGAATGCTTGGTTTAATGATCTGCTGTTGTCATCGTGAAATTCTTATTATTATTTTTTTTTCCAAGAGTACATTCATTTTTATTTTGCACTGGGCTCTGCAGATTATGGAGCCAATACTTCCTGGATCTGAATCATGACTTCACTATTTAATGTGCATAAACACAGTGTAAGCCTTAGTTTCTTCCCTGGTATGACACTCAATTAACAAGATTGATGGGAATATTAGATGAAATATCATCTGTGAAAGTAATGAGCACAGAGCCCGGCACATAGGACACAACAGACATGGGAAATGAAATGGAGCTGGAACAATTCCAGCTCTTACTTCTATGGATCTGAGACATAAAGAAACCACCCTGAGTCATAATTAGATGTTGCTGAAACTTAAACTTTAGTACTTACAACCCATATATCTGTGGTGCGATTTCTAGTCTGTTCAAGTGCATATAAAGCTCAATGTCGTGCTTCTTCAGTAGATGATCCTGGATCTGGTTGACTTTAGTAACAATAGCAATTGTTGGCCCTAAATCCTGCGGTCTAGCAAAGGGGATGGGAGTCATCAGTGTTTCTTTTCCCTAAAAACAGAAAAAATGGAGCAGGTGTTATTTCAATATGAAATGAGCAAATGTATGGACATCATACTTGAATGTACTTATCAACAGGAGCTTAAATAAGAACCAAACACTCATGATGATCATCTCATGACAAATGCTTAAATTGTGGAATCATATGCTGATTGTTATACAGATGAATTGTGCTCATAAAGGCCAGGAGATGCCTTCTAAAATATTTTCTACCTGTATTCCCTTGACCAGTTTCTCTGGTGACATTAAATATTAAATTATTAAATTTAATATTTCAAGATAATTTTTGTTACAGTGGCTGCTAGTCTACTTGTCTACAGCCAGTTTGTCTAATCAGCCATCAAACCTAAATGAAATACTCCAATAGAAAGGTATATCTTGTGGTATAAAACTTAAAAAAACAGCAAATGAAAACTGCTTTACTTTAAGTTCTCAAAACTATACAAGAAAAAAAGGAAACTAGTATTAGAAAAGAAGGTATTTTCTAACTGTCCTTCAATTAATTAAAATAGCTGAGTAGGGAGATTTTAAAACTCTCCAGAGTATAGCTGAGTTAAAAAACAAACAAGAAACAAAAACAAACCAATTATGTAGGCCAACTACAACTTTCCTTCCACCCATTCCATAGCCCATATTAAGAAAGATGTATCTGTACTACTTGTAATGCTTTCATGTAAACTTCAACTATCCGGAGTCTGATGATTTCCCCTATTATGTCTGACCCTTTCTTATGGTGAGTTTCTACCTCTCTCAAATCTTGGGATTTATAGCATCATTCTCTTCTGACTGCCTGCCTACCACTCATCCTCATTCTATTTCTCTAGCTCAAACTTTTGTTTCTCCTTTGCAAATGCTGCTTTTTCATACAGGTCTGGTCTTAGTTTAATTCTCTACTTGCATGTGATTCCCTGATCTCACTCATACACAGTGCTTCAACAAATACCCATTTTCCAAAGACTTCTAAAGCTATATTCATAACCTAGAACCCTCTGGGTTCTCTCCCATACATCCACATGTTGGCAAGGAATCCGAGGTTGCAAAAGGGTCCCTAATCCAAAAGGCCCACAACTGAGCTTATCATCATCTGCTCAAAAACATGCTCATCCTTTCCCCATACCTACCTCGACCCATCCTCCAATAAGAACACCTGATTTGCCAATTTTAGCTCTTCACAACAACTCAAGATACTCTTATTATGTCTCCTCTCCTACAGCTCAGCTATTATAACCTGGTTTGGGGTCCTACTCATTTCTTTCCTCCTAACTGGTCTCACTGCCCCTAATTTGGCCCGCATTTATTTATTTATTCATTCATTCATTCCATTCATTTATTCATTTATGTTTATTTATTTTTGAGAAAGACAAAGTGCAAGTGGGAGGCGGTGGGTGAGAGAGAGAGAGAGAGAGAGAGAGAGAGAGAGAGAATCAAAAGCAGGATCCAGGCTCCAAGATGTTAACACAGAGCCTAATGCCAGGAGCGAACCCACAGACCATCCTCCTTAAAACTTTTTTAATGGTTCTTCAGGAACAGAAAATAAAAGCAAAAAACAAAAGGCAAATTCTTGAGCCAGGTCTATGAGGCCTTTCATTACCTGGCCAGCCACTCCTCTCACTGTGCTCCCAGCGATGGGAGACATTTTTTTACCTGAAAGATCCTTTCCCCAGGGCTCCCATGGAGGAGCTCCCCAGTGTATTTAAAGATTTGGCTCAAGTGTCAGGTTCTAGTTCATCGCCTTCTTTACTACGACAGTATCCATTTCTCCTTCTCTGCCTCCTAAACTGTGAGATCTCTAAAAGGAACATCATCTTTTTATCACTGGACCACATTCAGGGGCACAAAAACAAAGAAGGTAAATCTTGCCCTTGCAGGGGCAGGGAAGGGGAAGACTAACAGGCAAAACTGTAATTCCACGTAGGGACAATGACCAGTCAGGCTGGCATGAAGTACAGAGGAGAGGAAGGGCATGTGTTAGCACAAAGAAAAATTTCCTAGAGGAGTTTCCATCTGTCTTTACAGGATCATTTCAAGTCTTAAAAAGAAATGTAGACCTGGGTGCTTCCTATAGTGCATTTAGAGATAGAAGGCCATACTGATTTTTACACCTCAATTAGTTTCTGTTGATCTGTATAGGCAAGAAAAAAAAGATACCTCTATTCTGTGGTCATTTATCATAAAAATAATACAGCCAAGACACTCTTTTCTCGTTTTATATTATCGAGTATTCTCTTCAAATGATAGGGTGTTATAATTTTTTAAAAATTTGTAATTCTTGCTAAAATTTTTCCTACTGATATTAAACTGAAATAATTTGGGAGGGTTGAATTCACATTAATTCTAAGACACCATTACCAGTCAAAAGCGTTTACTCTGAAACCAACCTTCCTTGCAGGGTGTCTGGGTGGCTCAGTCAGGTAAGCCTTCGACTCTTAATTTCATCTCAAGTCATGGTCTCACAGTCCTGAGACGGAGCTCAGCACTGGAGCTGGACCCTCTGCTCTTCCTCAACTCGCTTATGTGCAAACACATGCATGCTTTCTCTTTCTCTCTCAAAAAAAATGAACGATTTAATATTTTAATCATGTAGTTGTTCTCTAACGAAGTGCGTTGTGTGGCTGATACCATACTGCATCGGGGAAGGTACTGAGTGCAGGCAAGGTTTCTACCAACCACATGAGAAACAGATCACGACATCTAGTCATTCTGTAAGGGCCTGAAACACACATACTTCTGGAGAGATACAATTACTGGCTTTGGAGAGAACTGATCCTAAATTAACCTGTTAAAAATGTTTAACTTAATGAAATGGTGTAAATGCATTTCCAGGTTGAAGAGAGTGAGCTGTCACTGAATCAACAGTGTAAGCAGTCCATTTTTCAGATGCTTCATAGAGACGCAGGAGTAGCCTGGGAACTACAGGTGCCCACAAACTGTAGTTCGAAAAGATGCCCCCTGTGCTGATACTTACAACAGAATTTCTTAAATTTAAGAAACTTACAAGTAATGCTCATGATCACCTAAATGATAAACGGCTTATCTAACAGGGAAATCAAAAGAGAAAATAGTGAATATTAGATATTCCTTATCTTCAGGATTTATCATAATAAAAAAGGCTATTTGCATTTCACAGCTATCATCAAATGGGACCGCTACAAATATCAGCACAGCTAGCAACAACTAATAAGTGCTACTCAAACTGTCTGTAGGTCAGCGGCAGTCCACAAACTGTCCAAGGGATTCAGTGAGACAACTTGACACCATTATGAAAACCAACACACTGCTTTCTTCATCAAGAAAGTTTTAGGAAAAGTATGTCTGGTGCCCTAAGCAGCACACACAGTGATAGAGGAACTGAAAGAGAGAGAAGTGAATTAAGTTTTCAAACTTCTTTTAAAAAAGGCAATAGAATCAAGACAGATTAAAAAGGGGAGGATGAACAAAGCATTCATTATATGTTCCTTCTAGGAATGTATTATTGATATATGCAAGTAATTAATATAAATTTTCAGAGGTCCTATCTATATGTTCCTTGATAAAAAAAAATGGATATCCTTTTTGTGTTGTCTCAGCCATTTTCATGAACTTGACTCAGTGATATCAACATGAGTGGGTGAAACTGAAAAGTGTGGTAATGCTCACAGTTTTATCATTCAGTTTCGCAGACACTGTGAAACAGTTATAAGATACAAATGACCCCTGCATGATCATGATGCTTATATTTAAATGTATTTAAAATACTTTTTGTTCAAAATTTTGATTTTCACGTAAGTCTATGGCTTCATCAAGTCACCTGACAAGAATAAAGTAACTGTTCTAAAACACAATAGTTCATCAAATGTGCTTACAAGTTTCACCTCTTATAATCCTTATAGAATGTAACATATGTTGACATATTGCTCAAGAAAGACTATCACCTAGGCTGAAGGTCAGCAAATTTTCTCTGTACAGGCCAGACAGTAAATATTTTAGGCTTTACAGGTTATAGTCTGTGTTGCAACTACTCAACTCTGTAATGAGCAGTTATAATGAGCAAGTGGCCACAGACAATATGGAAACAAATAGGCATGGCTGTATCCCAATAAAACTTTTTTTATGGACACAGAAATTTGAATGCCATATAATTTTCATATGTCACAAAATATTATTCTTCTTTTGGTAGTTTTCAACCATTTAATAATGTAAAAGCCATGCTTAACTCCCAAGCTGTAATAAAAACAGATGGCAGGCCAAACTGGCCTACAGGCAGTAGTCTGCCCTGATCTAGACCAAAGCCATAAAAAGCATTAGTTATCCATTTCTGTTTTTAAAAGACGGGATAAAGTGATGGAAGAATATACGGTTTCTGACCAGAACGCAATCAATCACACCAACATAAAATAAATGAATTATATAGGGAAAAACATACCAAAAACTCTTAATGATATCCGTTGACAGAATAATTGGCAATTTTTCTGATATTGTGTAATTACAATGAAAACACCATCGTGGTCTAAGACAGCATATATGTTTGTTTAAAATGTCAGTTAACTCAGCAATTCTACTACTAGAGGAATGCCAAGAGCACTGAAAACATGTGTTGACACAAAGCTAATACACAAATATTCATAGCAACATTATTCTTAACAGCCAGAAAGGGAAAGAACCCAAATGTCCGTCAACTGATGTACAGATAACCAAAATGCGGCATATCCACACCATGAAATATTACTCAGCCACAAAAAGGAATGAAGTTACTGATGCGTGCTACAACATAAATGAACACTGTAAACGTTTTGTTAGTGAAAGGAGTCAATCACAAAAGGACACATATTATATGGTTCCATTTATATGAAATGTTCAGAATAGGCAAGTTCATAGAAAGCAAAATTACATCAGTGATGCCAGAGACCCCGGGGAGTAGGACAATGCAGAGTGAATGCTAATGGCAATGGGCTTTCCTTCTGTGGTGATGAAAATATTTTCAAATTACATAGTAGTGGCATTTGCACAATCCTGTGAATAAACTAAACTAGTAAATTATACACTTTAAAAAGAAGAATGTTATATCAGTTATATCACACAATAAAATTTATAGTTAAAAAGAATAAGTGAGTAAGGATAAACGGTATCGATGCTAAGTGTGTAAATTCAGGAGTGATGCATTAGTAAAACTAAGACAACCTATTTGATAGAAAGTTAATCTATGCACTTCAGTATGTCTATCAACTCACTAGGATAACAACAGATCAAGTAAATAAATGCACTGCATTTAAAATTCACAATAATTTTTAAGCAGTTCTATTGCATGGATAATATATTGACATATAAAATAAAATTTCTATTTATATGAAATTTCTTATATTACCATACATCTACCAAATTTACTAGCAATATGGTTTAGATCCCCAGTTCAATCTTATTCCTTAAGTATTTTTAAAGTTTTGGTTTTTTATAGTAATAATAATGGCTTTGCTTCTCTGATTAGATGTTGCTACTACTTAGTGAAATCATTTGCTTCTCCAAATATATTGAAAAGATCTGTACTATAATACTTACCTTTTGACCATCATGCTCAAAAGTAGAAAACCAAGGTTCAGCAGTTTCCATAAGTTGTGAGAACATTGCACTAAAAATTAGAAAAATAATACAGTGCTAAACCCTCATTAAAGTAGAAAGGGTGTAAAAAATTAACATAACAGAAAGCTTTTGTACTTACTAGGCATCATGTTCCAGATACTCAGGGTTCAAGAGAGTTTTCATTTCCTCACTTAAAAAAGTAATACAAAGAATCAAAATGTATAATTTTTTAATTGAAGGGAATGCAGAGGTTACCTTATTGTACACTCATAAGCCAACTTTCATACAATGTGCAAATGAAAAAAAAATCATTCTTTCTAAATAAAAAAAGTAATTCCATCAACAAACGAAACCTCCTCTTTCTATAAATATCAAAAACAAACTAGGTACCTTGTCTGTGCCACAATGAAGTACCATATTGCTCCAAAGAACAAATACAAAAGGTGACAATATATTCCTTGCATGTGCCTGATCTAGTATAAATTGATTACTTCACAATCTATTTTGTTTTTTTTTAAAACAAAACAAAACAAATTATTTACTTACTGGTCAAATATACCATATCAAAACATTCTTTTTCTTTTAATGGCTTCTATGTTTATAATATTTTAACACTCATTAAATAGTGACAGTACCTCTTTCAAATTTACTTTAGTGTTGCTTTTACCTTTCGATGGCTTGAAACTGCTAAAGCAGCATGTCCAAATTATTTAAAAGTAATTTTCAATCAGTTATACTTTCCTGGTGAGTATACTGTGTATACATGTTTTTAAAAAGATAAAACCTGGCATGAAAATAGGATCACAATACTAACTTCATCCTTATCATACTTCAGAATAACTGAAGAAAGGGTAATTAAGATATAGTTACTCTGGTCAGATCCAATAAACTCAGTATAATTAGAAAAACTCAAAATGAACTAAAAATACTCATCTGTAATACAGTAAACAAAAGTTAATTTAACAAAGACTCTATGCTGACCAAAATGGATGGCTATATTTAATTAATAAAAATTACATAAACTCATAAAACATTATGTGTTAATTTTTTATGTTCTGCATATGGATGGGTCAGCCTATGGAATACTTCCGACAAAGGTTTATAATCTCACAGCATCCATTCCCCAGATACTTCCTGGCTACCTCTCTAGGCCATCAGGGCATTTAAAGTTAGAAAACATATTCTAACAATTAGCCTAAATTAAAAATAATCACTAAAGTTACTTGCTGTAAAGAATAAATTACATGACAAACCATTTTTGTTTATTTATAGACTGGGGTTCTTTGGGGGTACTAGTCTCCTATTTATGACTTGAACTCAGTCAAACCTGGAGAGGAGAAAGGAGCTGACAGATAAGGTTCTCATGAAGCTTGTAGTGAAAGAATGTTTCATTAGAGGATGGTATTTATGAATATTATCAATCAAGAGCAATTTGCCATTACAGCAAAAATGTCTTCTTCTTGATCTATTAGTTATAGAGAGGTCTTTGGCACAGAACTATGAGTTGCAAAGACTATTAAAATTACAAATTTGCCCATGGCCTATAGGACTACAACTATTAAGTGGAATGAACAATCAGCTACGTGAAACACAACCAAATGTTTATAATTTACAAAAGTACCACCAATGTAAAAGATTCTCAGGTTAAAATGATGATAGCAAGGCTTAAAAAACAGATGGAGGTTATATAAAAACTTGCCTTGGCTGGGCAGACTCACTGGCATGAAGAAAAGCTTGGTGGTCACAGTGGAGAATAAAGACTATAGGCGCTAAGAGCTCGTGCATGCCCTGAAACATAAGAGCAAGAGAAATGAGAGGGGAAAGATGTTGAGGGCCCACCAGTGGACAGAACAGGCTCAGCTAAATGCTTCTTCAACTGATCCTCACCATCAACATTTCCATATTTTAGAGAAACGCATAAAATGAAAAGCTACAAAATGAGATTTGCTTTTAGAATTTGATTCCAATTCAACCATAGCACAAATTCTTCTTCTTTAAAACATGGAGAGCATTTCTCTTTTAAATGACACAACAAACAATAAATTGGCATGGCAGACAACCTTGCACCTGTCAGTTGCTTCAGGAACTGTACTCATAAATATGAATTTCATTTATGCAAATTATAATCATGAGCTACAGTGTAAAGATCTGCAGTAAGAAGGGCAACTGAGAACTGTAGACCTAAGGAAATTACATCCAATGTTTTCATTATATAATGGCTCAAAATTAGGATGTCTGTAGATTTAGGAAGAGCTGAAGTCAGCTAGCTGGAAATGCTGGATAATAAAAGAAACAATCTCTAGCAGGTATGACAGCAAACAAAGTTTTCAAACTAAGTATGATTTTCAACATGTTTAATCTGAAAACTACCGTAATTTTTTCCTGTCTACTTCAACTATAAGGTTACTATTAAATTCATTTAGTGAATTCACCAATTGTATTTTCTGTTTCTTTATATTAGTGTTACCCATGGATTATAGGAATAGGCACAGAAACAAAAACGCATATTAGTTACTAAGTTATCTCCAAAAGAAAATTATAAAAATCCATTATTTATCCACTAATGTGGAAAAGCAAGGTATTCCACAACAGTAATTTGCTTTTTTAACTGAGATGCTTTCCCCCCTTAAGCAGCAGCAAACATATTTGGCAAATTAAAAATAGACTATTTTCTGTCTCTTAAAGTGAGTAAATTAACATTTTCCTTATGCTTAATAATTATGGGTGCTCTTTTATAAAAAAATAAGACAAAACACCACCTTTATAGGAAATAAAAATAAAATATGGAAGCAAAGAGAAGAGTTTCACTGGTGGAAAGAGAGACTTCTCACGATGGAATGATGGAAAGGCAGTCACATAACCCTCTGTACGTTCTAGAAGCACCAGACTATTATTAGAAAGCTAGCGGTCAGTGCAAAATAAGATGAAAGTGAACTCTATCAGAGTTCATTTATAAGTTATCACTAGCCTTGAATTAGGACTTAATGACATTTGTACAAAATCATCTCTGATACACTGAATAGTTACTTGTGATTAAGACAAATTACCAAACATCACTTCAATCTTTTTAAGTAACCACGTCCTTAATAAACAAAACTTTAAATGTCTATTTGCCTATCTCTTAGAGCATGATAGAGATCCAGAAAAAATGGAATTAAGTGCTGCTAAGTGTGCTTTAAAATCATCACGAGGTGTTTATTCTCCTGGAATAATCGCAAAGTATTCCAAACGCCAAGTGCCATAATTTAATCATCAAACTACAAGCTACTTACTATAGTGCTTGTACTTACTGTAGCTATAGAAAAAAAAAAAAAAGACAAGGAGAAAGGAAGGAAGAAATGGAAGGAAGAAATGAAAGGAAGGAAGAGAAGGAAGAAAAGGAAGAGAAGGAAGGAAGGACAGACTGACCAAAAGAAAGAAATTAAAAACTATGCTAGATATCCTTATGGTAATTTTTTTTTGCCTATTTCTGATCATTAACTTAAGATGAAGGCCCTAGAAGTAGAATTTCTGGGTAAATGAGTAAAGACCTTTGTTAAAGTCCCTGATATATACAATTAAGCTGCCCTTCAGAAAGAGTTCCCTCACTTGACAGTCTAAGAGTTGCCACTTCGTACCTAATTTGTAGTGTTTTATTTATTTTAATCCTGTAAAACTTCATAGTCAAATGGTTTCTTATTTAAATGCTAGTGAGGATGAGACAAAAATTTTGACCATTTTTATTTAATGAATTGCCCATTTTCTCCTAATGAAGGTTTGTTAACAGTTCTTCACCAATTCAGGAGATGAACCTTTAGTCATTTCTGTTACATATGCTTTTCCACATTCATCATTTGACTTTTAATCTCGATGATATCTTACAACACAGTGAAGGTGTATACTTTAAAACTGTCAAATCAAGACATCATCCTTCATGGCTTCTTGTTTTGCTTCCATGCCTAAAAAGACTTTCCTTATATCGAGGTTAGGGGAGTATGTAGTTTTCTTTTTTACAGCTAATTCTTTACCCACATGGTATTTATTTTTGCCCTAAAGAATAAATAGGTATTTTTCTCTGCAAAAGAGTTCAACTAATTCTTGAATAACCCATCTTCTCCCAAGGGTTCTTTAATGTCGTCTTTACCATACATGAATAGTCAGAGCTTGTTTTTTCTCAGCTTTTACTGGCATTCCATTGGCTTATCCATTATTGACAAGAACCTTACTATTTTAATTACTTGAGCTATAAAATATTCTAGTCCTCCACATTTTCTCTTCTTTTTCTCAAAATTATCTTGCCTATTCTAACTTAATTAGAAGGTAAGCTTCAGTATCATTTAGTTAAATAAAATGTTAAATACTGCAATTTTTATTGGCATGGCATTAACATTACTTGAAGAAAATAGATATTTTAAAGAACAACACATTTTCTAGCCCAAAAGTTTATAAAACTGCTTAGTTTCTCACTAGGTTTTTGTTGTTGCTGGTGGTGGTGGTGGTGATCTTCTGATTGGGCCTTTTCCCCCTCCATATATTCTCTAATTAATGACTGGCTTAATAAGAATGAGTTCTTGTGTAAATGTTATCTTCCCACCCTCTTTAAATTTTCTCTTCCTTCTGGTTTCTATGACACTATTCTCTCCAGATTCTTCATTTGCTCATGCATAATTCATCTTCCAAATTCATATTTCAAAAATAGGGGTGCCTGGGTAACTCAGCTGGCTGATCGCCAGACTTCTGATTTTTGCTCAGGTCATGATCTCAGAGTTGTGAGATCGAGCCGAGTCCAGCTCCATGCTGGGTGTGAAGCCTGCTTAAGATTCTCTCTCCCTCTTCCTCTGTCCCCTGCCCCCTACTCGTGCTTTCTCTCTTTCTAAAAATTAATTATTAACTACCTACGATAATGCTGAGAACTCAAACGTAAATGAAGTGGGCAAGTTTCTAACCATTATGGAGTTCGCACTCTAGAGAGCAAGACACACAATAATAAAATAAGCACAGAATGACTATACAATTATAAACTGTGATAAGTGATTTCTACGTGTAGATACAAAAATCCAGTTCCTACTACAGGATCAGCACATAGAAGGTATTCACTGGATGGTGCCTGACTGATGAAATATCTGCCTCTCCATATAGCAATGTATTGGTAAAAGTTGAACTACAATATGAGAAATAAAAAAAGGAGAACATTAAATCATATATCGAATCAGTAAATAAGGGTGCTCTTTGTATAATGGAAATTAAGAGTCCCCTGAATATCATTAGGACAACCTTTCACAAATTCATTGTTGACTTCTAACTAAACTGGGGATATTTTCTCAAATAGACTTGAAGAGATTGTTGGTTTTACTCTTAATTCTAGACTAGTAAAACCTGATTAAAAATTACAAGTGGCAAGTTTATAAGGATCTTTAAAGGAAAAGAAAACTATTTAGAAAGGGCCATGAATACAGTATGCTATAATTTAACAAAGCATAATAAAACATAATATATTGTCAGTATATGTATTGGTTCCCTAAATGTGTATTTTGCTTTCCTCTATACCATCGGCATTTCTGCTTGCTTCAAGTCTTTATCCCTGCTGGATTGTTAGAAGTCACTGCACTCCAAACTCATGCCAGTTGAACATAAAGGTAACGAAGTTTTCTTCATCAACAGCCTGTAGGCTCACAAAATTGAACCTGTTCTTTTATCTGCCTGTGTTCATTTAGCCCACCAAGCAGTCTTTATTAAAGCTGAGGCATCAGGCAGTCAAAGTTCATTAATACCATTTATATAATCTCTGCAGTTTCAATTAACTCAGCAAGACATTCTACTACATGATAACAGTCTCATTAATTCAATAAAATCCCATAACTATTAACAATATGGTCGATGTTAAACGGGGTGTCACCTAGTACAAAATAATAGCTTTAACAGCTTGTGATGAAACTCAAGTTTTTTTTTCTTAAATTTGATCTGGCTAAATATTCAGTCCTTCTTTAGCAAGGTATTATTTCTATGTAAAGAATCTATAGGATTTTAATCATGTACAGGGAGTAATTAAGTCTTACTAAGTGATTCCCAAGAGTAAGTTAATAGTACTTTCTTGGTTTTGTCTAAATTATCCAGAATCTGACCTTCCATATTCTTGTTTAGTCTTCCTTACAAATGCAGTGGGCCCCATGCATCACAATGCCTGAGTGCAGTTACTAGGTTTTTGTTCCTTGTCTGTGGAACTTGTCTTCATTATTACCACACTTCTTTAATTGACTTTTTTCTTCCACTAAAGAAAAATGGGAAACAAATCTACAACTTGGGATGACTTTATACTGACTGGGTTTACTGTCATCAAATCCTTTACTGCGCAGTATTTTCAAATACTGGAAAGAAGGGCACGATGAAGAGATAAGCCTGATGACAAAAGCCAACACAATGAGGAGATAACAGAAAAATAGAAACAAACCTGAAACATTGATGAGGAGTCTGAACTACTGAACTAATACTGCAGAACCATTTTACCTCTAGACTTCTTGCAAAGTGAGTTAATAAAGTCCTTAGAGTTGAAGTCACTCTGAGTGAGATTTTCAGTATTTTGCTTCCAAAAATCCTACATTAATACTTATTTTCTCCTAGTCTCCTTTTTGGTTAGCTGGTTGGATTTTGGTCTTTGAACTTTGTATCCCACATAGGACTCTGTGCTGACAGCATGAAGCTTGCTTGGGATTCTCTCTCTCTCTCTCTCTCTCTCTCTCTTTCCCTTTTCCTGCTCACTTTCTTTCTCTCTCAAAATAAATAAATACACTAAAAAAAAAAAAAAAAAGAATCCATATGTAACTGGACCTTTTCTTAGTTTGTTCCACTGATCTCTGTTGATTCCCACACTATTGTTATACTGGCATGCTCACAGAATATTTAGAGAATAATTACCATTCTTTGCCAAATGCCTTTACCATTCTCCCCTTCCTCTAAATTCTGTGGGAATTCGAACATATTTAATAACGATAATAATAGTAATAACCAGCACAAATACCAAAAAGAACCCTTAGTGAGCACTATGTGTTGTTGTTTTTTAATGTTTTATTTATTTCTGAGAAAGAGAGAGAGAGAGAGAGAGAGCGAGCGAGCGAGAGAGAGAGAGAGAGAGAGAGAGACAGCGAGCATGAGCAGGGGAGGGTCAGAGAGACAGGGAGATACAGAATCTGAAACAGGCTCCAGGCTCTGAGCTAGCTGTCACAACAGAGCCCAATGCAGGGCTCGAACCCACGAGACCATGACCTGAGGCGAAGTCAGACACTTAACCGACTGAGTCACCCAGGTGCCCCTGTGTTTTTCTTTCTTTAATGTTTGTTAATTTTTAAGAGAGACAGAGAGAAACAGAGCATGAGTGGGGCAGGGGCAGATATAAAGAGAGAAACATAATCTGAAGCAGGCTCCAGCCTCTGAGCTGTCAGCACAGAGCCTGACGCAGGGCTTGAACTCACAAACTAGGAGATCATGACCTGACCTGAAATCTGACGGTCAACAAACTGAGCCACCCAGGCACTCCAGCACTATAGAGTCTTTATAGAGTTTTTAACTCTATAAAGTCATTACTGTTATGGCCCTCATTTTACTGCTAACAAAACTAAGATTTAGAAAATTTAAGTAAATTGTTTGGGTTATGTAGCTAGCAATTGATTGCCATTATGAGTGAGATATATTTTTTCCATTTCTCAATCTAAAAGGTGGTTATCGCCATGTAATTAATATAAAGACATATTACTAATATTAAAAGATAAAATTAGTTCCCTTGGGTATTATATGTATATAATAACAAATACATTATTTAGGACAATTGTAATATGACTTAGTTTATTATCTTTAAACCGATCAAGTTTACTTCAAATTAAATACACTGTTCTAGGGGAGCCTGACAGGCTCAGTGAGAAGAGCGTGCGGCCCTTGATCTCCGGGTTGTGAATTCCAGGCCCATGCTGGGTGTAGAGACTACTTAAATAAATAAACTTAAAAACATGTTTAGGGGCACCTTGGCTCAGTCAGTTAGGCATCAGACTTCCGCTCAGATCATGCTCTCATTGTGGTTTGTGGGTTCGAGCCCCATGTTGGACTCTGCGCTGACAGCTCAGAGCCTGGAGCCTGCTTTGGATTCTGGTCTCCCTCTGTCCCTGTCCCTCCCCTTCTTGCACGCTGTCTTTCCCTCTTAAAAATAAACACTAAAAAAAATTAAAAATTTTAAAAAATAAATACATTGCTTTAATCATACAGGTGTTTTCTGTTATATTAAAGTTAAGTCACTATCAGTTGGACATACATTATAACTTCTAACTGTTTGAGAATTTATTAACTTGGCTTGAATTTCCGCTTACTATACATTTTGAGAAATACAGAAAAATATCCAACTTTATATATTTGTAACACATAAAAATATTCAACTTTGTAGATTTTCTTTGAAAAATTATCAGCTTAAGTAGAAATCCAAATACTTCTTTATATATTAAATACCTATTTCACATTTCAGTGAGAGCAAAACATAATCCAACAATGTTCTTTCCTTTAGCAATGGGATGAATCAAATACCTGGATAACAAAGAGTATCATAAACTTTCAAAAATGTACAGGAACTTTCTAGAGTCATATTACCAGTAAATTTTAAAGAGTGGAAGGACACTTGATTATTTTTTACAAGGCAGGTCACATATCTATGAATGCTGTATTAATAAACACTATTTATACATACAACTCTGAAAAGTTTTATTACTAGATTGGCTTCAAAGATGCTGTTTATAAACAAACTCCCAAAAGTTGAAAGAAAAGATTGAACGCCTTACAGAAGACAATTTGGTGGAATGTCTTATAATAAGGAAGAAGCATATGTGCTTCAATGAGCTTACTTTTCTCACCATGCACCTGACAAGCAGCTCTCTGATTGCTTTACTATTATGATACAACTTTGGATACAATAAAGGCTACATTATTGCTCTATCATTTGTCAAGCTGTATAGAAAATTTTGAGTCAATGGATGCCACCTGTACGATATTTTCATTACCTGTTTATAAAGCAACTGCTCGTTTTCTCTAGCATAACAGAAAAGAACATCTGTAAGAATTTTTCTCACATTTTCTTGTTGGAAAAACTGCATTTCAGGAAACCTGAAGAAAGAAAACACAAGATTAAAACTGACTACCACAATTCCAAGAAATAGCCTCAAACTCTCGTCAAGGGTTACTTTATGTGTTAGTACAAGTGTGTATTTGCCATGCAACTAACTTATGCCACTGGTGAGACTGATAATGTTAAGGAAAAAAGAGTGAGGAGAGGGAAACCATTGGAAATGATACATTTCAACACCCAAATATTTCACAAGTCTCCATATGCTTAAAGTCCTCACACGGTGGATACAATAGATCTTAAGCAAAATGAATCCTAGCCTATATATTTAGGGGTTTAGCCCCTTTGGATTTTAGGATGCGCCAGCTTTTTTAAAGAAATCATTATCTTTTTTTTAATGTGAATATCAGGATTTAGATTATTATACATGACCACACTGTTAGTTTTGTCTGATTAAAATGTAGACTTCAAATGGAACAAGTCAGTCAGTATTGCTTAAATGCTATCTGGATCAAAAAGTCTGCCAGGTGCTCTGAAGTAATGAAAACAGAAAAAGGGCACAGTATCCACTTGAAAGGAGCTTACAAAGTTGTTTTGAATGAAAGAATATACAACTGCACAACCCAAAGAACAAATACATAGCAATCTAATACACAACAAACATATAAGGGAAGAAATAACGTCCCTAGAAATGAACAGTCAAATAGGTTCAATCACAAAAGATTTGAACAAAGATTTGTAGGTGAGGAGGAAGAAGGACATTCAGTGGGAAGGATAACCACATCAGAAGGAAAGATGCAGGCCCAGAAGGCAATGAGGATTCCAAGTGTACAGCTCAGTATGGTAATGAGTAATGAGAGAGAAGAGGACTCCATGAAGTACTGCCAGTTGAGAGAAAGACAAGACAGAAGAAAAGGTGGGGCAGGTCTGGAGAGAGCTCTGAATGCTGAATTTACAAATCAAGATAAACAACCAAGTGACCCTACATTTCTGAATAGGTAAGTAACAAAGAAAATAATATCTGAGTAACTTTAAGTGGGAATAAGCCTTGAAAGAGGAGAGGTTACAGGAAGGAACAAAGGGCATTATAATGAAGTGAAGTGGAAAAATAACAAACCTGAGAAGAGAAGCCTGCATTCAAATTCATGTTGCATAATTACCAGCTATATAATCTTGAGTGAGTGACTGCTTAACTGCCTCACCTGTCAAACAGGGATAATAATGCTGATCTTGTGACCAAGATGAGATCACGTTAAAGCACCAGGAACAGTGCCTGGTGAGCAGTGAATGTGCAGAAATAGAGGTGATCATTAGTCTTCGAGTACTGGTACTTTAGGCGATAAAGAAGTGAATTAGGTGGCTTTGGAACTAGAGAGTAAGAGAATGTGAGAGGCTGAAAGGAAGAGTAACCAACGCATGGCCAAGTGCAGGGTAATATCAAAACAGAAAAATACTCCTTAATGAGTCTTTTAAAGAGCAAAAAAACGGTTGTTTTACTTCATATTATAATGGCTCACGGCCTTTTTCTGGAGACTTCAACTGTTTTATGCTTCATTCAGATCCTTTTCTGCCTCCTTGTGAGAGTTATAACTTCCCCCCCCCCCCCCAGTCCAGGCTACGTTCCTGGGTTAACCATGCTGGTGGTTTGTGAAGCATCTCATTTCTTGTCCTAGTTTTTACAACATATTAAAGCCTGTTTTTTCTTCATCTGTTCATGTGACTTCTGCCTGAAATTTCCTTTGATGTCCCCAGATACATATACTTGTTTTTTTCTCTTGCAGAAAGAAGGCCTCTTTTCTTTGGATGCCAGTAAAAAAAAAAAAAAAAAAAAAAAAAAAACCCATGCGGGTGAGCAGGATTACTTCACATCTCTGCATAAGTCTTAATTTGATGACCCCCTCCAGACAGTGCCTACTCAGGCAAGGAAGTGTGACTAGGCAGGCGCAAGTGACCTTAGCTCCTAAAGAAGAGAAAAATTAACCTGAAAGTAGATTCAGGGCAAGAATGTTATAGCATAGAAGCCACAGGTGTTTAAGAAAGACGTCAAACGTACTGAAGTAGGAAAGAAACACACACTTTTTAAATGACTTCTTTGGGACAAAAGAAGGTTGATAAAGCCCTTAGAAAGTCAAATATCCCAAATTAAAGTAATCAGGATGAAAGACATGCAAGTAGTTAAAATAAATTGCTAAAGAGAACTTTCTTGGGAAAACTTAGTCACTAAGGTAAAAACAGATTAATCCTTCTGAGAAGTGAAATTATTTCCCCTTCTTCCTCATTAGGAGGACTTAAATCTAGACCTGTCTTTGTTTTTTAATTTGAGGTATAATTGACAGTCAACATTATATTAGTTTCAGGTGTAAAACATAATGATACGATATTTGTATATACTGTGGAATGATCACCACAAGAAGTCTAGTTACCATCCTAGCCATGTCTTCAAATAGGCTTCTTGCCCCATGATTTAGATCATACGGCTTTACGATTTTGCATGTCCTCTCCCTTAACTAATCTTTGGAAATATTCCATAGGCAATGGGGCAATCAAACTCTGTGTAACCAATGCAATCTGAAATGATTTTGTGAGAAAGAACTAAAAACTCAACTTTGTAACAAATACCTTTGAACTATATAGTAAGAGTTTAATATCTAACTACTAAAAATGTAAATTATATTACATATCAATTTATAGTTTCATTTAAATGCATACTAACCACTTGCCAGATTAAAAACAAGAGAGCTACAAGAATTAAATTGCAGGTAGATAATTCAAATTACCCACTTTTAGCAAATACCCAATCAACTAAAAATGTGTATTAGGCAGACACAGCATATCTACTCAACAGCACACGATCTACAATCCTAAAGTGCCAATTTATGAAGTTTCATGATACCCTCTTTTTTAGAAAAGTAGGACTTGTTCACTAAATTCTGATGGTTTCATAGCACCAAATAAGTAAGGTAGAAAGATGCAGAAAAGTTTTTTAAAAGATATAAAAGTTTAGGCTACTTAAGAAGTTTGAAAAAAAAAAAAACAAAACCTTCTATTCAGAGAAGTTTTAAGCTCAAGAAGTCTTTGGAGATTATCTAGTCTAACTCAGAAGATCAAAGGCAAGGATTCTGAGACTCACTGATTAATACCTGCTCCCACATAACTGGATATTTAGGGGAGGAGTACTTTCCAATCGCTTCACTCATCAATTATAAGTGGGTCAGAGATACATATTTAGGTTAAATTCCAGGAGTTCAGAGTTATCAAGAAGAACCTAGCTCAAAAGGCTGATGAATACACCTGAAGAGTAACATATATTTTCCATGACAAATATTTGATTATCTTATTGTCAGGCTTCAAACCACAGGACATAACATACCATCTATAGGAATCAGAATAAGAGAAAGACAAGGGGCACCTGGGTGTCTCAGTTGGTTAAGTGTCTGACTTTGGCTCAGGTCATGATCTCAGTCTGTGAGTTTGAGCCCCGTGTTGGGCTCTGTGCGGACAGCTCAGAGCCTGGAGCCTGCTTCAGATTCCCTATCTCCGTCTCTCTCTGCCCCTCCCCCTCTCATGCTCTGTCTCTCTCCATCTCTCAAAAATAAATAAATGTTAAAAAAATTTTTTTGATTAAAAAAATAAGAGGGAGAAAAGTATAACAAGTAGCTTTTCTAGGAATAGTAATTATCAGTTTTTGATGATAGGATTTAAGTTTCAAAATAGATTCCCTGCCATTCATTACGCTTGTATGCTTTCTTTTACCCCATGCCACCTGGTGTTGATTCAGGACAGGTAAGGTAATTTGAACACCATTCTAACCCAAATATCATTGGAAAGGCAAATTTACTTTTGAAATAATAAAAATCACAGAATACAGGCGCAAGGTGGGCCTTTTTTTCATGGAAAACAAGAGAGAAATGGTAGTAACTTCAGTAAAGATGAGGTAGAGAAAACAATGTAAGAATTAAAACTGTACAAGTTTATACATTAATACAAGTCAAATATCTGATAGGCAAATAAAAGGGAAAAACAATTCACACTAAATAAGGACTGAGAATAAGTTTTATTACTAGAAAACAGAAATCCAAGAGAAGTAACTTCCACATTTGGCCAGGAAATGGGAAGGAAACAGAAATAAATGAGAGTAGAACTGTGGTATAGACAAAACCAAAGAGAAAGTCATAGTCATATATTCCATGATGAAATTTAGACAACATAGTCTAAAATTTTTCTTTTTCTTTTTTTTTCTTATTCTTTTTTTTTTTAACTGTATCCCAGACTTCTTTCAGAACAAAGTGATGAGTGATGTGGGGATTAAAACCAAGAGCATCCTTGAAGTTTATCTTCCCTCTAACCATTTTCCCTCAAACCCTCTGCCCACAAACCCTTTGTGTTCCCAAATCCATTCTTGGTGAATGTAGAACATAGTCCCAAAGCCCTGGTACAAACCCCAGGTTCTCTTCGTGGCTTTCCCCCTTCCTCTGGCCCCCATTCCTGGGAAGGACAGGCACCTCAGGAATGCATGGGAGAGCCCAGAAGGTGACAGACATAAAGGGAAGGGCTTCATCCTCAGGGAAAGGGAATGAGGAGTACAGGGCAGTGAAGTGAGGGCCCCTTTAGTCTAGGGTGCCAGAGGAAAGCATACCGGTGCCCCTGAGAAAGGGGACACAGCAGCCTCAGAATCTTCTAACGAACAGTCACTGCTCAATCATTTGCCGTTCTGGTGAGGGGTGCAGAAACACACTTGGACCACATCCCTCTGCAGCTCAAGCTGCTGGACAGTGTGGCTCCTCTGCCGCAGGGTGAGTTTGGGCACTGCAGGGGCAAGTCCTCCAGGCTGTCTCTCCCTCAGTTCTTCATACTTGTTCACTTCTTCTCTGGGGCCTGCACAAGGGCCTCTGCGTTGAGTATCTCCTGACGACTTTTGTGACTGTCAGCTTCCTCCACCTACTTCTGCAGGAGGAGGCACAGCTTACAAGTTCTTGAAACTGAGCTGACGGGCCTCAAAACATCAGATGGTCAATTGGCTAAACACCTTCCCAAAGAGAACCCCCAGGGTGAGCCCCACATCGGCCTAAGTACATCCCAGAGCGATCCTCTTCTGTTTCAGGAGCTTGGCGAATCGTTACAGGTCTTTCCGCAGAGCTCTGATGTCCTGGGACTCCTCAGGGTTTTACTCCAGCTTCTTCTTTTCTAGTCTCACAGCTCCAGGTCAGGCAGCGCAGAGCTCGGGGGAGAGGTGCCCCAGAGTTGCTCTCCACCCTAGCTCCCCACTCGCCTTCCACATGACAGGTCTCTAGGCGGGGGCACCAGGGCACCAGCCCTACTGGAACTGAGGTCCATAGTAGCAATCCTACCCAGCAGAACTCAAATGGTGGGGCGGGGCATGGAGGAGCCCCTCACACCTCAGAGCCTGGCCCCAGCCTCAGGATTCCTGAAAGCACAGGAGGGCTTTGGAAGCTCAGCAAGGTCTAAGGGTGAGCCCCGCCAGGCTTGGCGCTCCCAGGCACACCGCCTCCACCGCCAGGTGTCCCACCAAGGAGAACAGCAACACCCAAGCCGTGGACCTGAAGAAATGAGGGCTCTCCAAGGGACTCTAAGATTTTTCTTGATGGAAAAAAAGTATTTCAGTTCTAACTTAACTGATAAATTTAAAATAAAGCAGTTTCTTTCTCGTGATGTATAAATCAACTTATAATCAGACAAATTTTACATACTGAAAATTAACACCAAGAGATTTAAAACTTTGGTGTGTGAGTTTTGTTCTGCAGCTTGAAATAACCCAAAATTTGTAGGCACTACAGTTTACATTAGAAGACTTAAAAAATCTATTATTATAGAAAACTCAAACATTTCTAAAGAACAGATCATAGTAGACTCAATATATCCATCATCCAATTTCATTGCCAATCAATTCTTGTTTCATATATATTCTTCCCTCAATTCTGCATTCTGAAACAAATCTGAGATATCACATCCATAAATATTGTGGTATATATCTGTAAAAGAAAAGGGCTTTCTAAAAACATAACCATGTACTATTCTGGACAACTAATAAAAGAATGCATTAATTAAATCAAATATCCAGTTAATGTGCAAATTTCCCTAATTTTTTTTCAGTTTGTTCAAAGTCATGATCCAAGAAATGTCCACACACTACAATTTGTTGATCTATCTCCTTAGAAATTTTTTTACTTTATAGATTTATCCCCCCCCCCCATATCTGTCTCTTTCTCTCCAGTGAATTTGTTAAAGAAGCCAGGTTATTTACCATGCAGAAACTTTCATATTCTGAATTTTACTTATTATTTCTCAGTTTTGTTATTTAATACATGCCTCCTCCTCCTCCTATAGATCTTATTAACTGGTCATTAGGTCTAGAGACTTCATCAAATTCAAGTTCAATTTTCAACAAAATTTTTCATGGGGTGGTTTTGATGATGGCTTTAGCACCTTTTAACAAATTCTCTGACATTCCTCTTAATGAAAACGTGGAGGAATCTAACTTCTCTCCATTTGAGTATGTGCTGACCTTGGTGACTGGCTTCTCACAAAGTGATGCTGTCACATAACTTCTGTCTGGCTCTCCATCTGGACACGCCCTTGGAACTCAGACACCATGTCACTCCTAAGTCAAGTAGCTACATGGGAGAGCCATGTAGAAGTGTTCTAGTCACAGCTGCAGAGAAGGTCTCAGCTCAGAGCCAACTTCAACAGTGGGAAAGGGGAGTAAACAAGACTTCCCACGATTCCAGCCCCTAACTTTTAAGCCTGCTTGGCCAACACCGTGTGGAACAGAGACAAACTCTCCGGCTCAGCCTTGCCCAAGTCGGAGATTAATCAACAAAATAAATGTTGTCATTTTAAGCTCTGGGGTGGTTTACAAATAGAGATCTCGTACAATTGGTACTGTGTACCTCCATCAGGATGCACATATTAGCTTATTTCTTTTTATGATTTCTTTTTATGATGATGAACCATTGGTGATCATTGCCTAGATCTATTAATTCATTAGAGATCGTAAACAGTAAAACTATAATTCTGTCATTTTATCCTCCTTTGTTATCCAAAAGCTATATATAATAAAAAATTTCCCTTCATCAATTTTTACTTACCCTGAAGCAAGGTCAGCAGAATTTTGAAAAATCTTGTTGACTCCCATTACATTAGCTCGTGGATACTTGTTGTGGACATCTAAGATCTATGAATGACAGAATAGCCACTAATTCTGTCACAAAAGTAACTTCCAACAACCAGACTATTCTACATGCCTTTTGGGTATCTTCTCATGTGACTGCAGTATATGGGAAATCAAGAAGTATGGAAGAACAGCTACACACCAGCTTTAGAGCCCTAATAACCAGGAATCCAGGTGCCTGATGTAAGATAAGTAGAAAGATACTCAACAGGGCAATGGTCTATCATAATACAGACAGACAACAAAGAGAAACCAGGCAAATTTCTGGGCAATCTATAATGAAGAGTTCGTCAGACAACAAAGAGACAAAAAAATATATATATATTTCCTAAGCAAAAAAAGGGTTAAGAAAAGAGTGAAATGATAAAGGGCTTTGTCACCGCATTATAGTACATAATTAGGTAATTAGAAGTATTAAAACAGACAAAGCATTGGGCCCAGATGAATTACTGAAGATGCAAGTATTCAATAAGATGCCCCAGGGGAAAAAATAAAGCCCTTGGTGAAGGTTTATAATCATGCAGTAGGACAGAGAAGCACAGAAGGACTTGAAGGAACAATAACTGATGTTATGCCCATACTTCAAAAACAGAATTTCAAAACAAGCATTCATCCAAAATTTAAAATGAGCTGATAGAAAATCCCCAGAATACTATTAAACACCAAAATAATGATAATACCTTCTTCTGGTTTATTGTTTTATTAAAGAAGTGGAAAATCAAGCAAAAACCACGAAGAGGAGCAATTTCATATACAATGAAAGCAGGCATACTTTTTCTTCCTGTGCTCCAGGTTTTGGTTGATGATTGTACTGCTCTCCCTATTCAACCAAATCTGCCTTCTCATCCTTCCAGGCACACAGCTGGATTTAATTTCCCAGCTTCTTTCTCAGTTTAGCTGTAGACATGTGACTAAGCACTAGCCAGTGAAATGAGAGTGGGAGTGATGTATGACTGACCACAAAATTCAACCTTCACATCCAGTTCAATCAGGCCCCATGCACATTTCCCCTTCCAGTTGGATAGAAGGGAAAAAGGTCAACCAGGAGGCCTGGGAAGCTACCTGTGGAATGCGGTGGCTTTAAAAATACATCTGCAAATTCTTTTTTTTCTTTTTTAATGAATATAATTTATTATCAAATTGGCTTACATACAACACCCAGTGCTCATCCCAACAAGTACCCTCCTCAATGCCCATCGTGGGTTGCTTGGTCTGAGAGAAGTCTTCTCTGGAGAGACACTTAACGCGGTCTCGTGGAAAGATCCACATGGAGAGGAACCAATATGGATCCTCCAGTCCTAATCAAGTCTTCAGATGACTGCACCTCCACTTGATATCTGGCTGCAATTTCAACCCAGAACCTTCCAGCTAAGCTCTTCTCAAACTGCTGATGAGCAGCAACTATGAAATAAGTGATCACTGTTCCAGGTCACTAGGTTTTTGTTGACATATTTTGTAGCCATCGATAACTAAAACATGTTTTGATACCTGATTCTGGGATGTTATTAAAAAACCATAAAATATATGGTAGGAATGTCTACAGGACTGGACAGAAGCTGGAAGGACCTTGGGTACAGCACCAGTGAAAGTTTAAAGGATGTGAAAAAGGCTACTAACAAAAGACAACCCATGAAGAGGCTGCCACTGAGGCTTAAATGAAAATAAGGAAAAAATTATAGGAAAAATGGAGGAAGAAACTTCTTTATTGTGTAGCAGCAACATGGCAGCCTCTAGTTATACAGAGAATTGAAAATGTACCACATAACTGGGGTGACTTAGCTAAGGAGTTATCTAGGTAGAGTGTTGAAGGTGATGCCTTATTTATACTTGTTGCTTGTGGTGGAATGAAAGAGGAAAGAAGCAAACTGAAGAACTGCTAATCTTAACGGTTCTAGGACTTGCTCAAGGGTTTGAAGATAGAACTTCTCATTCACAGCCTTTTTATTCAGCAAATGATGCTAACATTAAGACAGTATTTCTGGGCAAAGATCATATCTAAAACACAGTGGGGAAAAAAAAAAAAAGGCTAAAGATGAAACCGAGGGAGTCAGTGTAAAATCTTTTGTTAAGATCTCAGAAAGCTCTAAAGTGGTGCCTCAGAGAACCCTTCTGTGAGATGGGACGCCTTGACACCTGTAAAGATATAGAAGCATGCCTCACAAGCCTTCAGCAGTGAGAGGTCAAGGATGGTGCTGCATGTCCTAAACCATGCGTGAGTGCCTCTCACAACAAAGAATTGGCCAAAAATGTCAGTGCCCCCAAGGCTGAGAAACTCTGCATTAGAGCATATAAGCCCAGAGGGTAAAAACTGTATTTATTAAACCTCCACCTCTTTCTGAGGAAGATTTACAATAACTCACCAATGTTTCCATCTTCTGTTCGCTCCACAGAGTACTCTGCATGTAGAAAGTATTCACTTAATGTTTCTTGAATTGAAAAGGTGTTAAGTCCAGGCAAACAACATTAACATAAAATATTAGAGTTGTGGAAAGACTAGGCGTCCCAGGTATTATTTCTATTTTGGCCATTAACAAAGCATATTTTCTTAAGTCATATTTTTTCTTGGTTTCAACTTTCCAGATTTGCAAAATAAGAAGATTTAATTAGGGAACTACCAATAACACAAATGCCTATTATGGGTGCCAGATACAAAACATAAGAACAAAGCACTAAAGAAACAAAAAACATAAGATAGAAAGCATAAGAACTAAGCACTCAAAAAAATCTAGTACAGATAACAGACATTTTACAGCTACTGTTGAAGGACGATTATTACAAGGAAATGTACATGGCTGGTAAAAGAACAAAGTAGGCACTATTTTCTTTAGCAGGGCCTTCAACTTCTAAGACAGCAGCTAGGACACAGTAATATCCCAAGTAGTATTTGCTGAAAGAGCTAATGAACCCACAAACCAATAAACAAGCCAATGAAAGATAAAAATGAAATCTATATACTCAGGGACTGGAGGTGGGAAGGTGAAGCCTAAGAAAGGCCGGGCCAGAGTTGTGTCATTGTTTCTGCAATTAATAAAGACAAGAGCAACGTACAGCTTTCATAGGCCATAAACTGAAGGGGAACACTGATTTTAAAAAGGAAAGGAAAACAAAAAGTAGAAGTCTGTTGTGACGACAACAGGCAGAATCCAGACCAAGAGGACAGCAGAAATCTCCAAGGGTCTAAGATGAAAGGTGGAGATTTGAAATCACCATACGAGCGAGATGATGAAGCAGAAGGATTAAGAGGACAGGAAATATCAAAGACTGCATAGTGGCAAAAGGGCATGTAGGGCTGGACTTTCAGGAGATGGTGGGTGTCACCATCTAAATTTTTTTTTTTTAATGTTTTATTTATTTCTAGGAGAGAGACAGCGTGAGCAGGGGAGGGTCAGAGAGAGAGGGAGTCACAGACTGAAACAGGCTCCAGGCTCTGAGCTGGCAGTCAGCACAGAGCCCGACGCGGGGCTCGAACCCACGAACCGCGAGATCATGACCTAAGCGAAAGTCGGACGCTTAACCAACTAAGCCACCCAGGCGCCCCTGTCACCATCTAAATAGACATTTTCACCACAGTTTCTGTCTAGTTCTGCAATGCTCTGAGTTACACAGCAAGCCTTCATCCTACTGCCTCCCTGCCTCAAAATAAAATACAATAAAATAAACAACTTTCTACTTATACCATAAAGGAGAAAAATTAGAAAAAAATTATACAAGTAGATTGTGCACTTTACATGCAAGAGTTTGTCACAACTGAAAATTCAGGCTTTATTTTGCCGTCATTCAACAATTAAAACATTCTAAAGTAATTCAAAGCATTTACCCTCGAAGTATCAATGTGGCTTCAATTCTGAATGTGCATTTAAGTTCTGAAAAGCGTACATTACACTATAAACAGGTTATGCCTACAGGAATATTTTAGGATGAGCTATTTCTTGACCACCCAGCAGACTTTACTTTTGAACCTTCTTATAATTAACACGTGAACCCATGACCATAGATAGTGCTGAAAAACCTGGCTCAATTTAAAACAAGGAGGATTTCAAAAGCAAAACCTCTGGTGGTCAGCAGCTCATGGCGATATACCTGTACCGCCACTGCATGTACCACTGCTCCCAAAGCCCAAGGTTAGGAGCACAGGATGCTCGCCGCAGCACTACGGCTGTACGTGCTACAACAGATACACCTATGTTTTCACTCCAGTACTAAAGAATTTTTTTCAAATTAAAAAAAAAAAATCCCATAAATTAGAATAAATGTGTGGTAAGAAAATGCATGCCTAAATGAAAAGAAATGGGAAAGATACATGTTAAAAACAGGAGCGGTAAAGGAAAACACAGATTTCTAAATATGTATGTGCAACTATGGTAACAATAAAACATTTTGTTTTTACCTTAAATGTTGTCAAATGAGGCAGGACTACAGGCCATTTGACAAGAAGAATTGTTTCCTGGATTCCTGAAAATCTGTTTTTCCCCTCTTTAATATTTAAGAAACACACACACAGGTTGCCGACAACTCTTAGAGAGCGGCTTGTGTTGTAGTTCCCACTTTCCCGGCTGTGAACGAGTGCATATGTGAGGGCTGGTCGTGCCTGCGCAAGCGTGTACTTTGCCTGCATTAAATAAGATCACAACACAACACCAACTACATCCACTCATTCATGTGTGCCTGCAGTCCACCTCGAGGAGACTGAAAATATCAATACAAGCTGCTATTTTGGTGTGATCACACGAACATGGCAGCTTGTGTGTTTTTTTTTCTCTTTAACATTTTAACACTGGGCAGATTGTCTGCATTAACACAAACCAAAATCAATTCTGCTCCGAAACTGCGTGTAAGATCTTCCTTCCCCTAAGGAATTTTTTTTTTTTAATTTAAGGAAAAAATGGGCTTAGAGGAAACTGTATAAAAGAGACCAGCATTTAGGACATCTTAACTTTGTAATGTGCGGCGATCAACAGAGGACCAGAGGACTGGCAGTTATTCCACTCAAAATGGGAACTTTTGGAGAGGATGGACTTTAAGAAAAATTTTAAAAACCAACAAATTCACTTTGTAAAATCACTTCTGTGTGTCGTTAATACAGGAACAATTTTCAAGTACTCTGATTTTAAGCTGCCCACTACAATGTAAGGTAATAACTAAATTCAACCAAAAACTCAGATGAGACTTGTATATGGTAAAAATTCATGGAGGTACCCCTAAGGGCAGAGGAAGGAAATAAAAGTATTTAAGCACAGACCATGTCTAAAAATTCACCATGAATAAAAAAATAAAACGCAGACATTCCTACACACAAATATGTAATAATGAATTAGCTACACAACACTGTCCAGTAAAGCTTTTTAAGACAGAAATGCTCTACATCTGTGGTGTCCCGTCCAACATCCATCAGCACTTGAAATATGACTACTGTAAATGAAGAGTTAACTTTTAATTTATATAACTGAATGTGCCTGGTGGCTACCAAAGTGGACAGCACATGTCTACAGTTTTATAAAGAGAATTTTCGGGGTGCCTGGGTGGCTCAGTCGGTTAAGCATCCAACTTCAGCTCAGGTCATGATCTCATGGTTCGTGGGTTCAAGCCCCACATTGGGCTCTGTGCTGACGGCTAGCTCAGAGCCTGGAGCCTGCTTCAGATTCTGTGTCTTCCTCTCTCTCTCTGACCCTCCCCTGCTCATGCTGTCTCTCTCTCTCTCTCTCAGAAATAAATAAGACATTAAAAAATGTTTTTAATAAAAATAAAAAGAGAATTTTAGCAACTATGGATGAATCCACAAAATATTAAATTACAAGATAAAAAATACTGAGAAGACAAAGTCTGCTTATATACATTTGTGTCTGAAGATTGATCCATACATAAACTATAACCGAAAGGAAGCACTAAAATGAGAAAGTTGAATTCTTTTTAAAATTTCTTGAAAATTTTCTTTAATGTTTATTTTTGAGAGAGAGAGAGAGAGAGAGGCAGATGCAAGCAGGGGGGGAGCAGAGAGAGAGGGAGATACAGAATCCGAAGTAGGCTCCAGGTTCAGAGATGTCAGCACAGAGCCCAACGCAGGGCTTGAACTCGGAAATGGCAAGGTCATGACCTGAGCCGAAGTCGGATGCTTAACTGACTGAGACACCCAGGAGCCCCAAGAAAGTTGAATTCTTGAAGACATAACCACATCATGGAGATTCACAGAGGAAAGAACGTAATGAAGTGTTGAGTCCAGCTGCCTGGGTGCTAGATGTAGCAACCCTGCAGTAACTGGAAGCCTAAGACCAAAACTTGAAGATGCTCACTACTATATCCAACAGGCAATCAGATAAACTGTAAATACAGTCAAAATTACAGAGGTGATAGCTAAAGAATTTTAATCATTTAATTCAAGAGAAAGGAGGAATGCAGCTGAAGAAGAAATGATACTGTTTGGCAATAGCTTATAAATATGTTAATTTACAAATGATATTATATACACTACAAATATACTTTTAGGATAGACCTTGATAGACCAAATAACAGACTTCTTTGGCATCTAATGCAGAAGCGATATTTTATTCTGAATTCAATATTCCCATCATTTTAAATAATACTGTATTTCCTTTAATGTTACAGCCTTTGAAGCATGGCAAAATTGGTTCAGAATGGATGATTCAAGCTCTGAATTAGAAACGTTGTAAATTGGAAGTTTCTTGATTTACCTTTTGATTATCAGTTTTTTCAGTAATAAAAACGAGAACAGTAACAACCTCATTAGGGTGAGATAAGGAACAATTAATTGAAATGAATACAAAACGCTTTGAGGCAAAAAAGGGTTAGTAGAATAAAGGAATATTAAAACTAGTTGAAGAGGAGATAATATTTAATACAGTGACATACTTAGATCAAACAAATTCAATAATGATGGCAACAATACTGCTCATGAGATGAAATTATCTTGTTTAAACTCGGACTAGAAGGCTAATAACTATTTTTTTTAAGTGTACTTGTGGCTCTGAAGACTAAGAACATTGAAGACTATTACTACTAAAATTGAGCAAATACTGATCATCAGTGATAAGATTCACAATCAAGGAGTCTTTATTAAGCATCAACTTGACTCTGCAGGTGGCACAAAAACAAGGTTAGGTCCATGCCCTCTAAGGGCCTATCAGGAGGTTTGAAAGAGAACTGGGCTAACCCCAGAGCTCTCATACATACTGTTTCCATTATAACACCAGTTACATTACACTGTAACTTCCGGTTGGCTGCTTTCTCTATTAGACTATGAGATTCTTAAGGGCCCATGCCATATTTATCTTGGCATCTCCAGTGCCTGGCACCCTGAGGAGATTAATATTAATGTATTGAATACACTGGAAAATTGAATACACTGCCAGGTCTAAGTAAATATAGGACTCAACAAAATTAA